AAGCATTTAGGCTTGTAGTTTTCAAGAAGAAGTCGAAAAAGTAAAACATTGACACTGACGACAATCACTCATATGATAAGCTCCGCTCGACAAAGTCGACAGCGGAGCTAAAAAGTGACATACATACATACATACATACATACATACATACATACAGACAGGGTAACTGCAAAGACTCCCTTTTGTGCTTCGCACACGGGAGTCAAAAACTCTGCTGGCATCCATGGCGTTGTCAGACTGGGCTACATTTACATTGGGTAATTGGCTTCCCACTCAAACACTTGTATGAATCCATACACGTTGTGCCAAACTAGAAGTATTTACACATAATTAAGTTGGACGTTTTTGGTTTGATTCAAAATAGCATGCATACAACCAAGTTTTGCTACAGCAGGATTTATGGCAGTGTTCAAGTGGACAGCTGATAACCGAAAATAAATACCACCCACTCTGAGAACGCCGTGGATCCAGCGCCACATACAGACAGACTCAATCAAAATTTGGGTTGTAAGTAGTGTTTATTTTATTTACTCTGCAAAATACAATCTTAAAAGTGAAAGGTAATTATTTTTCACCTCTCACAAAATTCAAATTCCTGTTTCTTTTAATGCATGGCCAAGAATTGAGAAACAAAGTACAATGAATGAATGAAACTGAAGGTCTTACAGTGAAACCTGTCTAAAATGAACACCCTAATAACTGAGAAAATAGTGTTGTTTACAGGTGTTCAGTTTAGACAGCTATCTGGTTCAAAGAGTTTTAAACAACTGTCATTAAAAAGAATAAATATCCTGCCATTCACAAGAACTTCAAAAAAATGTCTAAAATGCTCATAACCTTTTTTCTGCTTTGACAACACTTTTTATTTTGTCTGCAATGTTGCAAAACTAATACTAATTGAGGCAATGTTCACTAGTTGAAATAAACATTACATACATTATGGTAGAACCCCTGTAGTAACAACATATTCAGTAAAATGGTTAAATTCATTCTGGACAAGTTGATATGATCTACATCTGATGCATTATACTTTAATACTCTATATGAATATAATGAACACAGTGATGTATAAAGAATGAGCTACATGGAATGTTTTATATACAAAATGTTTACAAATATGAATGCCACATCAACGTCCATTACAGCCATAATCATCCTACTTTGAGCACACCTTGCCCTAATTTAGATTTATTTTGCAACAAAACAGTTGTCTTGCTTATAAAAATGCTAAGGTGTTAAAAGTTAACAATAATTGGAGTAAATTTTCTATTTCCCCTGGGTGAAATCTTGTGGGATCAAATCCACTTGCGAGTGATCGCCTCAAATAAAGTTGCACAGAATTGGCTTCCAAAACGGTACCTAAAAATCCTCTGACCCAAACAAAAGTTTGTAGTCATTTGAATACTATCTGTCTAAACTTTAGGGCTAAATAGACAAACTCTCATCAGCTACATGATTTTTATTTGGTGAATTTTGACAAAAGGTGACATTCAAACATTTATTATAACTTGTACTCAGATCCTCTGTGCGAATTTTCTGTTTCTTGACAGTGAGTAAGTTTCCACTTGTATAACTACCTCATGTCGGCAGGAAACCAAACCTTGAGTTGACTGACATGGAATTATATTTTCATTGATTTTCAAATAATTATACATATAAACCATGAAACAACAGCATTTTTACTGGATTTTTACTATACTGACTAGCTCTAGACCAAAACTAAAGTACTCCACAGGTAGGGTAAAGCAGCTAAAAATGGCAAGTAATATAAACAGTACTTTCCAGTGCCTAAGGCATGTTGAATACTGGTTGGAGAGGCGAAAGATGAATACTGGTTGGAGAGGCGAACGGTGAAGAGTGGTTGGAGAGGCGAAGGATGAAGACTGGTTGGAGAGGCGAAGGATGAAGACTGGTTGAAGCAAACACTGACCAATTGTACAATATACAAGAGACAGAAAATAAGAGAAAACTGCCTTAACGATAGATGATATACACATAACTGAAGAGTAACTATATGATGAACTGTTCAGTGTCTTCTTGTTTTTAGAAGAAGTCCATATCATCAGGTGCATCCAGGTCTCTATACTGAATCAGTTCTCTTGGATCGCCTCTTGAACCCCTGAATGAACCCCTGAAATCATAGAAGGCAAATGTTAGTTTGAAATAATTTCCCTATATCACTCCTATCGATATAGGGAAGCAATGTTGATCACTCACCAGTGCAGGCATCTACTTATGACAGACAAATAACGAAAAAAAAACATTTTTGCATAAAATAATCATGTCAAGTACACGAGGACTTTCGATATGTCAGAGTAATACAGTGGTGTAATTACAAACTACATGTACAGTCATAATACAGAGGTGTAATTACAAACTAATTGTACAGTCGTAATACAGTGGTGTAATTACAAACTACATGTACAGTCGTAATACAGTGGTGTAATTACAAACTACATGTACAGTCGTAATACAGTGGTGTAATTACAAACTACATGTACAGTCGTAATACAGAGGTGTAATTACAAACTACATATACAGTCGTAATACAGTGGTGTAATTACAAACTACATGTACAGTCGTAATACAGTGGTGTAATTACAAACTACATGTACAGTCGTAATACAGTGGTGTAATTACAAACTACATGTACAGTCGTAATACAAAGGTGTAATTACAAACTACATGTACAGTCGTAATACAAAGGTGTAATTACAAACTACATGTACAGTCGTAATACAGAGGTGTAATTACAAACTACATGTACAGTCGTAATACAGTGGTGTAATTACAAACTACATGTACAGTCGTAATACAGTGGTGTAATTACAAACTACATAAACAGTCGTAATACAGAGGTGTAATTACAAACTACATGTACAGTCGTAATACAGTGGTGTAATTACAAACTACATGTACAGTCGTAATACAGTGGTGTAATTACAAACTACATGTACAGTCGTAATACAGTGGTGTAATTACAAACTACATGTACAGTCGTAATACAGAGGTGTAATTACAAACTACATGTACAGTCGTAATACAGTGGTGTAATTACAAACTAAATGTACAGTCGTAATACAGTGGTGTAATTACAAACTACATGTACAGTTGAATCAATTTCAGATAATTTTTTTGTAATTTCCTCTAATTTCATCTCAAAGGCTGAGTTTTATTAATTCATGTATAAAAATGGGCAAATCACAAATTAAACTTACCTGTTTCTTGGTTTGGGAGGGTAAGTTTGAGCACCCCTAGGATACTGATCAAAACCACCTCTGTTGGAATAACCACCTGAAACACCGTATTGACCTTGATCTAGAGACAATAGATACTATGTATTTAAAATGCCACCTTCACAAAAATAGCTCCTATAAATTATTTCTATATTTTTTCAAAAACAATATCAAAACCTGAAGCAGATTGTTAATTTTGACTAAAAATGATGGCATTCAATCAGTTGTCACAATGATGATTTCTGAAAAAGAAATGGTTGTTTTAATGAAAAATAATATAATATTATTCCCTTCCATTTAGGCTTGATTACTACAGAATAAATTTTAAATCTGGGGTAGTCAATTGTGGCTCTGGTCATTGATCACAAGAACTAACATGCACTCTATTGAATTTAACATAATGTCATCTTTACCATTCACTTAGAGTAAAAATGTACTGATGAAAGAGATGAATAGCACTTAGAAATTTGTTTAAATCATTATTTTTGTAATGCTAGTGGTAAACCCACCGAGGTTGAAACAACTTCCTGATGTGAAGATCTGATTTATCATTGTTAATGACAAAGTTCTTGTTACTGTTGGGGGAAAATGTTATTTATGCCTAATATAAAGTAATTTGGCCAAAAAACAAGATGGCTGCAAGTCTGTTGTCTTTTATCTGATCACAAATTAAATTGTCATATACAGTCACTGGTCATGTGACTAGGTAAAATGTTTTTGAATGAATTTGTAATGTATGGTCAGTAATTGAATTAAATCACTAAACCACACTATGTGCACATGTCCCACATACAGTACTGGGGACATGCAAAAAATGTATGGATTCGGGCTCGCGGGTTCTGAAATATGATTTTGGATGGAAAAAAAATATTAAAAATAGAAATCTTATTTTAATCAGATTGGTTCACCAGCATTATATGATTCACTGTAAATAAGATCCACTATGAGTCCACTTTTGTCACCATTCATTTAAACCCATATAATGTTTCCAGAATTTTTCAAAATTTAGATCAAGACTGGAAAATAATGTCCATCTGGATCAAAATAATCTCTCCAAATATTTTATAAATACATAAACAAAAAACAAAATGTTGATTCTTAAAAAATAATAGTGATAATAGGGTTAATGATATGTAAAATGTGGCCAGTAATGATTACATGGATTCTCATTGATATGGCTGTGTGAACACTGAACACATCAACCACTGAACAAGTTGAAAATATTTAGACAATTAAAGAAACTCACTTGCGCCATACATGACAGGCGGCCTTGGTTGACCAAATCCCATCATGCCTTGCTGCGGTGGTCCCTGGAACCCTGGTGCAGGCCCCATGTTGAATCCCTCACGACCAGGGCCTCCAGGTTGCTGGGGATTAACCTTGGCTGGCTCTGGCAGTTGTGGACGTTTAGGGTCAGCTAGATAATTGTTAAAGAACACCACCTTAAAGAAAGAAAGATGAAGTTCATAAAAGGCAAATGGCCTACAATTACATTAACACAAGACTTACGGTAAGTGGTTGTGATATAAATTAAACAGTTTCATTTGAAGTGACACAGTGCTGAGAGATACACCACTATTCTGTCACTACCAAATAAGCGCTAAAAATAATATGTTGTAAAAGTTGTTCTGTCGTGCACCATATCAGCATTACTTGTATTGGAGAGTGTGAATCACTACAGCTTTACATAACTAATTCAAAGACTATGCAGGTTTAGTCAAGGTGCATTGTCTGGAGGTGAGAGTTCTTACTCAACTATGGAAAAAGATGGCCAATCAATGATGAGGTATAATAGACCTTTAGTATTTCTGTAAATTAACTGCCGTTCAGTGTTGTGCATGCATGAGAAATGCAACTCCTTGACGAATTTTCAAATTTATTGTTTATTGTCCTAAACACTCACTTGACAGACATCTGTAAAGCCACTCTATATCGTGGTATTTCTCATACTTAATGTTGAATTAGTGAACAAGTTTAAATACTTCTGAGATGAACTAAAGAGAATCATACAGATCATTCTCTAAGACAAACAGAAAACGAGACAAAATTTTTTCAAGTTAGCGTGGGGGAAATAACATTGCTAAGTATTATTGTCAGGGAAAGCTATTGTTTAAACTAGTCTGTGATTGGTTGCTGGCAATGTTTGGTGGATTTTGACCAGTTTGTGACGTAGGCTTGACTTAGAGAATTGACCCTATAGCAAGATTATAAGAGGATTACTACACACAAACACAATACATTTCAAATAATAAACAATTCAAGCAAACCTCTTTCTTGACATCATCTAGCTTATCGCCATGCTTGTTAAAAATATGTTTCCTGACAAACTCAGGTCCTTTAAACTTTTTGCCACTCAGAGGGCATAGCCACTTATCTTTTGCAATCTCCTGTGAGTTGGCCTGCACAAACTTTTCTTGTTCAGTAAGGTAACGTCAAGGAACGTCAAAGCAGTGAAATGAAGTGTATAATATTTTTTTTTCTCACTTAAATGTTTGTGCAACATTTGCCATGAAGCTCAGATAAAATATGACCAATTGGTGGCCATTTTGTTTCATAATTTACTGAGCTCAGATCAAATATGGCCAATTGGTGGCTCATTTTGTTTCATAATTTACTGAACTCAGATCAAATATGGCCGACTGCCATGCTTAAAAAGGATATACTTCAGGATCTTTCATTCCAAGATTGGCCAATTCTTCCCCAACTATCCTGTCCGGTGTTACTAATAAAGGGTTGATCTTCTGCTGAAAGTTATTTTCCCATTCAGTAACTAAAGAGTAGAGAGATAGACATGTAAGAAATACATATAATATATGTGTTGACAATAAGCTGTTATCAGCATAAAAAATGTTATA